GGGGGGGGGGGGGGTGGATTGTGGTATTCATTCGGCAAAAATTGAGGTGTTTGGATATGTAACGAATTGTGGAATTGAATTATCTGAATAAAAACGTGAATTTAAAAATACTTCAAAAAGTCAGGTATAAATATATGCCCTGAAAATGTGCTCTATCGAGTCATAGCGGATAATCTAAAATTTAAAACATCCGACAGCCTATATAATAAATGCAGACGAGTTGCTTTTTGTCAGCGGGCATGGCTAGAAACAGTACGTTGTTCTGTGTGGTTAAGCTCAGTTTCAATCGTTGAGAGAGTCATTTGAAATCTATCTTTAATCTCAGAACGGAGGAATGCCTTTTTAGAGACTCTAGATTTCAAACTTTTCCCAGGGCAACATGTCCCTGGACCCCCTCTAGAACTCTGTAAAAACAATCAATTATAGTCGACAGATCTGACAGCTTCTATTGCGAAAGTGAAGACGTTTGCGTAAGCATGGCCGGATTTTGAGGGGAGGTACTTGAGAATTTTTGCAGCTCCCCTGAAAAGTCATGCACCTCCCTTTGGGGAGAGTTTCAATGATAGATCAAAGTGAAAATTTGACATTTTTGGTTGCTTAGGGTCTGCACTTAGTAAGACAGTTTTTCTGTAAAATTGAAACAGTGTCAAGTACCCTTTTAATGCAATGTTTCAAAAGAACCTTTGTAGTAATTGTAATGAAACATGAGTTTTAAATTGGATGAGTTGTACAGTTATAATTCATTAATATACTGATACATAGTGTAATCGTTTAGAATCTTCTGTGTAAAATTCTAAACGATTATACTGCTCCTAACTTGAAAGAGTCATTGATTGGGAGTAGTTTAACGCAAGCGAACTATAACTTAAGAAATAATTATCCTGATTTAGCTCTCCCAAAACCGAGAGGGAATTCCTAAAAAAAGTTTTAAACACAGCGAAGCAAAGCTTTGGAATAGCCTTTCTCGGGAAGCAAAAGCTAGAGCCACGATCAATCCATATTTTCAAAGAAAATATTAATCTTTGATTCTGTTACTAATGGTAATGCATGCATGGGTCACACCTCCTGTATTCAGCATGCACTCTTGTAAATATAGTTTTTCTTTGTTTCTACGTATTTTCTTGTAAACACTTCGTATATTACTATTGACGACGCTCCTCACGAAAGCCAACGTGTGTTGATGAGGCTAGCGTTTTGAAATAAAATTTTACGATTTCCACCAAAATCCGGCCTTGTGCGTAATCCACGTATTTGCAATGTTATCCAAAGTTTAGTAAATATATGTGCGCGTGTATACCTAATACAGACCAAACCAATAACTCGGCAAAACTATACCTCACCCCGTCCCCTTCCCTCAATTTATTTATTTATTTATTTATTTATTAAACTTCGCCACTTACAACAAACAAGTGGCAGGGACACCACAACAGTATACACCAATTACTGTGGGCCCTTTAAAAATTGCTAAATTTTAAGAATACAACACAAAACAACATATCGCAAAACAAAACTACATCGCACAGAACAAAATTGAACATTATGCAATGCAATGCAATACAATACAATGCAATGCAATGCAATGCAATGCAATGCAATGCAATGCAATGCAATGCAATACATAGCAAAGACAAGATTCAACTTCCACCGCCACTACCGCCACCAACAATATTATTATAGTTTATCGAGCTAACCAATTACATGCACATCAGGTCAGCGAGAGGTAGCGGTAGTGGCGGCGAAAGCCAAATCCCAAACTCGCTAAAAACAACAAGAGATTGGACTATCCAGACTTCGAGTCTTGTTGCACTTTAGGCAGATAGATTTCCATGTCCGTGGATTATCTTGATCATAGACTAGATTTAAAGCAGTACGGTAGTAATCGAGTAACAAAGATTTAAATTTGACTAAGCTTAAAGATTGAAGAAAGGCCTAGCGCCGCGCCCTTGTAGATAATAAACCAAAAAGCGACACATATTAAATGAAAATGGATATGAATTTAGATTGTAAAATTGTCATCAAATCATATTTTAGTTCTATATGGACATTTATAATAATTTAATAATTTATTTATCACAGATAATGGCTTAATATAACGTGTTTATCACAGATAATGGCTATTTATTTTCGACGAAAATAAATAGCCATTATCTGTGATAAATACGTTGTAGCCACCATCAGCGAGCTTTAGCTATTCGTTCGTGAATTAATTTGATTGGTCCATTTAAATGGGCAAGTTGACAGAACGAAGAAATGAACCAATCAAATTAATTCACGGGCAAATACCCAAAGCTCGTTGGCTTCCGTGACCAGAAAAATAACAATTTCCTTTATATAATGTCGAAAACGCAGGAAGTCAAATCAAAGGGGATGGG